ATTATATTTTGCAATTTTAACTACTCGACATAAATTAATGATATTAAAGTTTAAGACATGTGTAGTGCATGCACCTTAAATAGAGTATATTAACTGTTTACGATATTTGTGGTATATAATGTAGCCATGAATGACCACATGACTCCACAAGATGAACCCGGCCCAATGGCTTCTAAATAGAGAATGGATGAAAAGTTCATGAATATTGAGCTTATATGTGAATCAGGTTAAATACAATAATTAGTTAACCTAGCTTTATATTACTAATGTACATACATGTTCTAATAATTGTATTTTGCTTCATACAATGCATGTGTGTGTGGAAACATTACATTATTATTCAGCTCACTCCCCACATTGGGGCTTTTCAGTGACCGATTACATCAAGTAATATGATTACTTATGTTAGCCTAGACTATTTATCTTTACAACAATGAGAATATGATATTACTTTCCTAACTGTGTTTATATCCTAACCCAACCAGCCAATTTTGCCCTGTCGGAGGAAACCGGAGCAAAATATAAAATTCAATTACTTTGAAAACACCTAAATTGCGATCTCTAAAATTTAAAATGTTTTCTTAAATCGCCTTAAATCGCCTAAATTCGCATTAAATCGCATTGCTTGAAAGTCCCAGTTTTTCCTTAAATCGGCTAAAATCGCCCAAATCGCATTATATCGCAACGATTTAAGGCGATTTACCGCCCCAGAATAGGCCTTTTGCAATTGTAGACCCTCAATAGTCCCTTAATTCTTTCTCAAATTTCTGATTTTAAATGTCTTGTATATTCCAGTAACTCTCTATAATCCACATAACCTTGAAGTTAATGTACCACTGACAATCAAAGCAGATTCTGTAAGCATAGTCTGTGTCAATATAGTGATTCCAAAAATAATTAAGTATCCAATTGACCCAATATTGAGTTCTATGTGGTATCACTGTTTGAACTCTGAAGACGCAGAAGATCTTTCAACATCTGCAACGATCCCTGCATGAAGTTTAAAACAAATTATTAAAATTAACTTGATGAATGTATCCATGACCTGATGACAAGTGACTACTAGATAGTAACGCATTTAAATAGCTAGACATATCAATAATTTCGTTATAAGTTTATTTACTTTATCAATTTCATGGAGTGCCTGTTTTGAAAGCTTGCTTTCCCCAATTATTATTGGAGTATGAATTACAAAAATGATTATTTGTCCTGCTTCGAAATAATACACATAAAATACTTTGTATACCGTATACATAGTAAAATTATCAATGGCCATCAATAACCCGTCCAGAGAATAATTTGGACAATTATTAAAACAATAAAGAAATATTTAAACGTGCGAAAATCTACCAAAACATTTATGTATTTAGCTGTCATGAGAGCCTTCAGCCTTCATACTCCCGAGCAAAACTCGCAACTAAATTGTGCCAAAAAAAATAATTACGTTACCAGACTTGACAAATAAAAATTCGCTTACCTTTTCTTCAATATATTCATAAAACAGACGAAAATAGTCCACTTATATTCCAAGAGGAGCAGTTTTAATAATCATAGTGCGGTTTTTGCCATATTGTTTATAGTAAAATTCCCACACTATACTACCTAAGAACATGGTGGTCTTCCTCCAAGTCTCTCTTTGTGGACATCTATATATTGTACATCTATATTGTACGTTACATGACGTACCGCTGAGGGGGAGAGGAGGAAAGAGAGACTTGTAACATCTGGCAGCAGACATACAGTACTGCTCAGAAGTAACCTAATGAAAAACGCGTTCTGAACGCGTTCGAGAACGCGTTCCAGACGCGTTCACAACGCGTTCCGCGAGACCTTCCGAACGCGTTCTAGAAAGGGTTTCTTTTTCAGAACAATTGAATCGTAATCAGTTCGACAATACTCGGAAATTATCGCGAATTTCCGATTTATAGCATTCCAGAGAAAAACATTTTACAAATATGGCAAAGCTTTCTTTGTATGCAAGAAAAAGAGTGATTTCTTTAAAATCCGCCGAAAATTCAAACAAAAAAATACAAGAAGTTCTACTGGAGGAAGGAATTAACACTTCAATCACAGCAATTTCGCTC